ATCAAGGAATCGCAACATAATATAAAGATCTTCTCCTGATCAGTGATCAATATAGAAAACAACGTGTGAGTGAATCATCGATGAAATAATGCTTTGTGTGTGTGTGCGTGCGCGCGCGTGTGGGCGTGTCTGTGTGCGTGTGCGTGCGTGCGTGCGTGCGTGCGTGCGTGCGTGCGTGCGTGCGTGTGTGTGTTTGTGTGCGTGCGTGCGTGAAGGGAACCATATTTATTTAATATTTATTTTGATTTTTAATAGATTCATGCATCTTGATATTTTACATCTCTCTTCTCTCTCTCTCTCTCTCTCTCTCTCTCTCTCTCTCTCTCTCTCTTTCGCTCTCTCCCTCTCTCTCGCTCTCTCTCTCTCTCCCTTACTCTCTTTGTCTCTCGCTGTCTATTTTTCTACCTCTCTCTCTCTCTCCTCTCTCTCTCTCGCGCTCTCTCTCTCTCTCTCTCTCTCTCTCTCTCTCTCTCTCTCTCGCTATCCCTCTCTCTCTCTCTCGCTATCCTCACTCTCTCTGTCTCTGCTCTGCGCGTACATACATAGTCAACGCCTCGAAAAGCAGACCTCTAAACTCACTCTAAATTCAATATTTTCGCGTAAAAACGTGCTGATAAAAATAACCAATGCCAAAAGAAACGCCTGCGCCGTTTATACGTAGATATTTATTCATATTATCCCGAACTCACAAACTATCATCCCAAACTGTAGAACATTTTAATTAAATCTAAAAATGTGTGCCTATCATGATCGCTCAAGATCTTCCTTCCATCCATCCAGCCAATCATATTGATTAAGATACATTAAAGAAAAAGAAAGAAAAGAAGATAAACAGTGAAAACTCAATATTAGACGAACGCACGTACTGTACCACATGTACACATAGATATATATATATATATATATGTCATATTATTATCATACTTATTATACTTATTATATTTATTATTATACTTATTATATTATACTTATAAGTTATATATTATATATATTTATTTATATATATTTATTTATATATATATATTATATATTATTATATTATACTTATTATATTTATTATTATTATATACTTATTATTATACTTATATACTTCCCTTTTCATAACAACCGCGTGTGACCAAAAAAATAAATCGCAAAAAAACACGCAAAAATCTACTACGTATTCGGCGCTCTCGCCTCACTCACTCACTAAACTACTACTCAGTAATCAACAGCTGTGTACTCGACCCTGCTATTCTTTTCGATGCTTGAAGCGTGGTGAGATAAACTCGTTTTCACCGCTTGAAGCGAGAGAAAAAATAAACTCGTTTTCACTGCTTGACGCAAGATAAAAATCAACTCGTCCGGGGTTCACATCGTTTGAAACCTAAGAAGAAGAAAAAACAACAAAAATAACTGCATATGATAGTTTTTTTATTAGATTGTTAGATTCACTTAGATTGTTTGATTATTATTCATAATTTAAGAATTGGTTTTTCTATGTGGTGGTATTCTATGGTATCATAGGTGTTTTCGTGGCGATGAAGCAAGGTCGGAGCAACACAGCTGTGCTAGTCTGCATGTGCAGATATTTATATTTGGTGGAGCAAGCATTCACTTATCATTAGAATCAATCGATATTATGTATTATATATATATATGTTATATATTATATATATATATGTATATATATATATATAATTATATAATATACTGCTAATTATTGTACATATATACGAGTTCTAGGACAAATATCCGCGACAATACGCACCCCCGCGACATTACCCCGCACCATACTCCCGGACATTACCCCCATACATTTACCTTCGGAATTTTACCCGACAAATTACCCCCGCACTTTATCCCCAAATTACTCCCGGAATTTACCCCACGGACAAGTACCACTGGACATTTACCCCCGGACATTTACCCCGGACAATCACCCCGGAAATCACCCGCCGGACATTTACCCCAGAATCCGAATTTACCCGGACCCCGGAATTTACCCCGATGCCATTACCCCCCGGACAATCACCACGGCGAAGACCAATGTACCCCCGGACATTAGGCCCCCGAAAATTACCCCAGCGACAGTACCCCCGGACATTTAACTATCTCGCGACAATTACCCCGGAACATTTTACCCCCGCGACATTAACCCCGGACATTTATCCCCCGCGACAATTACCGGAGTGAGAGGGGGACAAGAGAGGAGAGGAGGAGACGGAGGACGGTGGGGAAGGCAGGACGCTCGGGTTGGTTATGAGGGGCGCCCTACCTTCATCAATCTCCCCTCCATCCTGCCTCCACGCTTCTTCCTCTACACCACCTGCGCCCTCCGCTTACTTCTCCTCCTCTGCATCCCTCCGACCGCTATCGTCCCCCCATCCTCCACACCTTTCTCAGTCTTCCCCTCCGCCTCTCTCAACCCCCCCCCCTATTCCTTCATCTTCCTACTTCCTCCTCTCTCCTTCTCCTCCACCTCCTCCTCTTCTCCCCCTCCTTCCCACCACCTATCTCCCACGTTCTCCTCCTCCTCCTCCTCCCTCCTCCTCCTCTTCCTCCTCCTCCACCTCTCCCCCTCCTCCTCCACCTTCTCGCTCTTCCTCCTCCACCACGTTCTCCCCACATTCCCCTTCCTCCTTCTCCACCTTCCTCCTCTCCCACGTCCTATCCTCCTCTCCTCCTCCTCACCACCTTCTCCCACTTCTCCCCCTCCTCTCCACCAACCTTTTTCATCCTCCTCGACCTACTGACCTGTATCATGTTCAAAATGAATAATAAACACCAAGTGGTAAATGTCCGGGGGAGGTAATTGTCCGGGGGGTAATGTCGCGGGTTAAATGTCAGGGGGAAATGTCGGGGAGGGGTAATTGTTTGGGGAGTAATTGTCCGGGGGTAATTAGTCGGGGAGGTAGTTGTCCGTTGGGGATAATGCCGGGGGGCTAGTAATTGTCCGGGTGGTAAATGTCCGGGGGTGATTGTCGGGGGTGAAAGGACATGGGGGAATTGCCGGGGTAATTGCTCTGGGGTAATTGTCCGGGGGTTAAATGTCGGGGAGTCATTGTCCGGGGGTAAATGTCCGCGGAGGTAAATGTCGGGGGAATTGTCCGGGCAGGGTAAATGTGCTGGGCGGGTAAATGTCCGGGGGTATTGTCCGGGGGGTAAATGTCCGGGGGTAATTATACGGGGGGTAATTGTCTGCGGGAGGTAAATGTCCGGGGGTGATTATCGAGGGACGTAAATGTCGGGGGTAATGTCCGGGGTGATGATCCGGGGGGAGGTGAAATGCGCATGGAGTAAATAGCAGTGGGGTAATTTTCCGGGGAGTAATTGCGGGGGTGATTGTCGGGGGTATCATAATTTTGTCCTGATACCATATATACATATAATACACATATACATGTACATGTACATATACATATATATATATATACATATACATATACATATTATATAAACATATATATTTACCCTAGAATGAATCACATTACATTACGGAGACACTTTTTTTTTCTTCAAAAAAGTACGAGAACTCGCGTGACAATGCACGCGGCAAACTCCACGACAGATGGCGCTCTCGCTCTGGCTCAATTCTGGCTGTATTAGCCTGAGTGTGGGAAGGGGGCGCTGCATGCAGTTTGTGCGCGCGGCAAGATACGAAACAAGTGGCGATGCGTCACGTGATTCGCGTCATCCGGCCACCAGGGGGCCATCATCGTTACTTAAACGTAGAGTCCCTATATATAGAGAGTTGCGCCATGACGAGTCGGAAAAAATCGGTCACGTAGTCGCTGGACGCCATGTTGTTTCCAAATGGATCCACACCGCTGCCGCTCAGGTACAGCGCTGTATGGATACGATGTACAATGGTCCTTAGTAATTAATTAGACTAATCGTG